GCAGTGAGACTTACGTAACTGTAGAAGTTGCGCGACGGATTAGTGCGGGGGTTAGCCTCTGTCAAGCACGAGTGAATACGCATGCAATGTAAAAGTGTGTGTGAGAGAGAGAGAGAGAGAGGGTGCACTTGGGTTAAATGTATTACGGAGGACTGCTTAACTCTAGCGCGGGTATTTGCTACTAGGGCAGCCGGCAACAACAATGCTTGTAGTGGATATGCTGGTGAGAGAGAGAGAGAGAGAGAGAGAGAGAGAGAGAGAGAGAGAGAGAGAGAGAGAGAGAGAGAGCACTTGGGATAAAATGCATTGCTGCGGACTGCCGAACTCTACCGCGGGTATTTGATACTAGGGCAGCCGGCAACAACAATGCTTGTATTGGATAAGCTGGTGAGAGAGAGAGAGAGAGAGAGAGAGAGAGACACTTGGGATAAAATGCATTGCTGCGGACTGCCGAACTCTACCGCGGNTGTATTGGATAAGCTGGTGAGAGAGAGAGAGAGAGAGAGAGAGAGAGACACTTGGGATAAAATGCATTGCTGCGGACTGCCGAACTCTACCGCGGATATTTGGTACTAGGGCATCCGGCAACAACAATGCTTGTAGAGGATATGCTAGAGAGAGAGAGAGAGAGAGAGAGAGAGAGAGAGAGAGAGAGGGGGAGGGGGGCAGGACGGCAGGCCTCGAGGAGGGGATGTGAACAGTAGGAACCAAATGGTTCGGAGCGGCCTGTTGTAGTCCAGACTGGTTGGGTCTCTTGACACCCTCGGCGATCTCGTTCTCCCTTCCAACTCGTTTTTGGCGCACTTTGTCCGTTCTGTGGTGGATCCCGCCCAAATTTTTGGCGCGCTTTGTCCAGTCTGTGCATCCCGCCCAAAATTTTGGCTCGCTTTGTCGTCCCTATCTTTATTCGCCTTCCGGAGATTCTCAGATCGGGATCTCAGCCCATCAAGAAGTCGCCGGCCTTGTCATTCCTTCCGTCGATTCTTTTTTGAAACAACCCTGTTTATTCTCGGATCGGGATCGCAGTCCATCTCGGTCGGCACCATGTTCATCGACATATCGGTGACGACGCAATAATTGTTTCGCCGGTCTTATCGCCAGCGGTTCAGGGGAACGCTTTTTGTATGTGTTTTTTTTTTTCTCTCTCGTTGTTCGGCTGTTGTCGTTTTCTTTTGTTTGTTCTCTATTTCTGAGGGAGCTTATTTTTTCCTCCCTGTCGTTTTTCATCTTTGTTTCTTTCTCTGAGGAAACGTTTCTTTATTTTCGGATCTGGTAGCGGTTCCCTGTTTAGGCTTAGGCCCTCGCTCTACTGCTAACCGCGTGCACAAAAGACTAAGAAGTATGGCGGTGTATCTATCCATCTTTAGCGGAAGATTCATTGTCATTTTGCACATTTGGTGAGTAGTGGCGCGCAGCATTTAGGAGTAGTCGTACGTAGCTAGGAAAGGCGAGCTAGAGAGAAGAATATAGCTTAGTTGCTCTGTCTCTGTGTGTGTGTGTGTGTGTGTGTGAGAGAGAGAGAGAGAGAGAGAGAGAGAGAGAGAGAGAGAGAGAGAGAGAGAGAGAGACATTGCTCGGCGAGTTCGAGAGAATAATATAGCTTAGTTGCTGTGTGTGTGTATGTGTGAGTGTGTGTGTGTGTGTGAGTTTGAGTTTGAGTTTGAGAGAGAGAGAGAGAGAGAGAGAGAGAGAGAGAGAGAGAGAGAGAGAGAGAATGACATTGCTCAACGATAAGGGCTCGCCCCTGCTTCAATTTGGCGTTCGAGATCTGTCTCGCCTGCTTGTGCCGGCGGGGGGGGGGGGGGGGGGATGGACGACAAACCCATCACACGAACGTATAGAAGCGATGTTTTCGGCCCCGTGCACTTATGACGAGGGTACGTTGTGCTCGGGGCTCGACAGGTACCTTGTGCTTTTGTCTCCTCTTTTGTTTTTCGTTAGCCGGGCCTTTATGACAGCGTACTTCGTCTCAGGGGATGCTCACGAGAGGCCATTACTGGACGTATCTGACCGCTTTTCCGGCTAACTCTGTCTGAGTCTGACCGGAATTACGTCCAAGTGAGTGTGTTCTCAGTTAGTGCGCGACAACCGAGTCGACGCTGCCGCTGCATTCTGTTATCGAATCAGCTTTTTGGATTTGAGAACCCTTTTTTTTTTTTT